ATATATATATATATATTACTATAGTGAAGAGAAGAGAAAAGAAAAAAAAAGGGGGGATGGATGTACGGATTCTCTACTTGACGAACCCCCCGCGGGATCTGCGGCTCTCTGAAGAAGAACGACAGAAAGCCTTTACCGTTACGATTCCATTAGAGAAGAGAAGTGATGGTCATTTCACCGCAACCGCGCGGACTGCAGTGAAGACCGTCCATCAGCGGCTGCAGCTGCAGATGCGGGAAAGTGCGCTGCTGCTCAGTCTTCACGGTATCGTACTCGACCCGCAGGAAGATATTGCGGATTTAATAGCCGATCTCCCATCCGGCACCCGTAGTCGTGTGGTCTTTCTTCTTTCTCCACAAACATTGGAAAATGTTGAGAAGGAGAATCAACAAGAAGAAAGAGAAGAAAAAGAAGAGGAAATGAAAGAAAAGAAAAAAGGAATTCAGGTGAAAAGAGGAGGGGTAATGTTTGCCGAGACATCATCTCCATCTATGGAGGCCACAGTCCTCACATCTGTGGATCCTCATAAAATGTATTCCTCTCAATGGGAAGAAGAAGGAGAAGGAGAAGAATCCTCTTCACATCATCGACAACAATATCAATATCAATATCAATATCAACAACAAGAGTCTCACACAATAAAAACAACAAAAACAAAAACAAAAAAAACAAAACTATTATCGTCGTGTGTGTTTAGGGAATCTTGGTTAAATCCACGACGATGTGTTCGTTGCGGTGCGGTGCGATCACAACATCGATTGTTTACCCCAACACGGCAAGAACAACTCCAGGAGGGAATGATAACACCCAGAGAAGGACTCCGCCGTCGTCCTTTACAAGAAGCATCACAACAATCATTCCCACTCTCAACATCACATTCTAGTATAGTGAGAAGTCCACATGTTTACAATAATGAAACAGTGGAAGAAAAAGAAAATATGCCAAATAACATTGCATATACATCAACATATTATTATGCCGATCCACGTCAGTGGAAACCACAGCGAGACCAACGTTATCATCCAATGGTAGAAGCATGTGATGATTTCCTCAGTTCCTGGGGAAATCCTAATTTATGTTGTCGTTGTCATCGAAGAAAAGATGCCCATCCTCGAGAGGTTCAGCACACAACTCCACAAAAAGCATCATTCTCTCTTAAACGATTTCACAACTCCTCTTCTTCTCCTTCACATTACAAGAAGAATGGTACTTCCTCACCAAGACGTATTCGTGTAGCATGTGAACTTTTCACCCCTTTATGGAATAATAATGACTACTGTTCAACCTGTTATATAGATCGGGCTAATCATACATTAGAATCACAGCAACGTTCTTCATTTATTCAAGCGTCCCCTAAACGTTCACTCTTTTCACCTAATAGACGAAATAAACCCCAAATGACAGACTGGCTCTCCACTTCTCCATCAGGGAAACAGGAATCTATTCATCCTAGCAAGATCAAACAGCATTCTACCACTGTTTCCTCATCATCAGGGCGAAGAAGTCAAACGAAACATTTTGTAAAGATGCCTTCTCTTGCTGTTGCTCCTGCTAACACTACTACTACTACTACTAATAGTGTTAATGTTAGTAATCTTTCTCATCATCCCCCTTCGTCTTTTTCTTATTCGCCTTCCTCATCTGTCTCTATCATTGGTTGCTCGGTAATTCCAACACCGCAGCAGGTGCTAAGTTACTCTAGACATCCCTCTACTGCGGTGGGATCTTCTGTGATAAAAGACTCTGTCGTAACGACATCCCCAAGAAGAAGTGGAAATAACTCTTTCTCTAAACGAGAAATACCATGGACTATTGTACTTCAATATCTAACTTTAGATGGGCTCTTAGTATGTCGACAGGTCTGTTCAACTCTGCGCACTGCGGCTATTCCTCTTATTCGTGCAAATTTAAGGTATATTATAGACATACTTGATGTACCTCAACAAAAACGGGAAATACTTGCAGAATGTGCTGATCTTTACGCCTCATTATTTATGAAAGTCATACATCGAAAAAACTTGTCGTTTGAACCACTTGATGCTCCCACGGGTATACTCTCTTTTTTTCATCATTCTGTCTTGGAGCTTTTCCAGGCGACACAGGTGTTAAACGCTAACGCAGAAGATGCGTATACATTAGTGAAGGAACAATTGAAAAGGTTGGGATTGAAGAAAGAGAAAGGAAACCAGTATAGAGATCATTGTGTTCCTTCACCTTCCAGAATGGCTATGGCTATTGCAAGAGGCGATACATTGATGAATGACGAGTTTAATGAAGAGGATGAACTCACTTACTACAATGATGATAATAATAATAATAATAATAATAATAATAATAATAATAATAATAACAATAATAATACTAATGACATGGATGGTGTGAGTTCTTTAATCCAAAACGTGGCATGCTGTGATACTTCCTCGCTTCCAGAGAAGGTATCACATTGTATCCGAGATGCTTTTGAGGAAATTGCCATTCTAGCTGCGTCATCACTTGTTCGTCTAAGTAAAGATGGTAAATTAGATGATCTTGATTTTCATGTACGAAACACCCGGTTTATGTCACTTGGTGAATTTTTTGAAGAAAATGCCCTTATGCCTATTGTTGACTTTCTCCATGCTGTAGAAGTAGTGGTAAGACTAAAATGGAAAGCTCGAAGGTGTTTAGAGAGGTTACATAAAGTATAATCTCTTCATGTCTGTACTCCTTCTACAAGATGAAATACACTGGGAAGGGTGTGTTTCTCTCTGGAGATGTATTGTATTGTATTATATTAATACTCTTGCTGTTGTTTGCTTATTTATTTATTTTTTTATTTTTTTTATTTGATTGTTTGTTTTTATGGGTGAGGACGGAAGAAGAAAAAGAAGAAGAAGAGGTGTACTGAAATAAAACATTTAAAAAAAAAATGAATGAAATTCTACGGCTAGAGTTGTTTTGTTGTTTTTTTTTTTTTTTACCCCCATTCTTTTCTATTCCTTTCTATTCTTTTTCTTTTGGTCTTTATTATTGTAGGGCGCCCATAGTTTGTTTTCAGCTCTCTGGCAATTTGGCTTTTCAGCTACACACACAGTTGCCCAGTGGCCCATTACTCGTCGTCCTCAGCGGCTCGTTCGGTCCAGAGGAGGAGGAAGAGGAAGAAGAAGAGGAGGAGCAAAACCGAAACGACAAAGAAAACACAGTATTCAAAAGAGGAAAGAAAAGGGAAGGGAAAAAAAAGTAGTGGTGTTTGGGTCAGCAGTTATATATATATTTTTTTTCCTTTACCTAATCGTACTTTCCCATTAAATTGGAGTAAGCAAAGTCACTATTAAAGCGGTAAAAGAAGAAATATATATATATATATATATATATATATATATATATATATATATATATAATTAGACAATCGAGTTTGTTTGCTTGTACTACTTCAAGCTGCGTGTGAGTCAAAGAGAAGAAAAAGAAAAGAAAACGAAAAAAAAATTAAAAAGTAAAAAAAAAGAGGATCTACCGTAGTTTGTACCTTTTTATAATAATTCTTATTCTTGTTTCTGTTATCAGTAATTGCAATGGACCTTGACGCCTCCTTTAATAGTCCACTGCGATCCTCACCGTGGTTGCACACCGACCCATCCTCCCCGCGACTGCGCACCCCCGTCGCTACGCCAGATCGCTTCATCTCCGATCGCCGCTCTCAAGATAATGCCATGTCTCATTTCTATCTCACCACTAAAGAGAATGTTACCCCACTGCAGGCGAGTCCCGATCGGCGTGGAGGTTCAGTTTCACTTATGGCCTCACCTAATCGCGGTGTTGCGGCTGTTGGTCTTGGGAGTGCTTCTGCGGTTGGGAGTGGTGGTATTATTAGTGGAGGGGGTGGAAGTGCAAGTAAGGCACGAAAACACACAATGGAAAGTAGTCCTTTAGATACACCAAACCTTGGAACAGAGCCGTATACCAGTAAACTTGTTCGTACACTTTTTCCGGAAATGCAGTCTACAGTTCTCGGTATTCATAATCAAGTTTTTCAACAACAGAATGTACCTGAATCTGAAGAAGAAAAATACCGAAAATCATTGGGTGTTATATTTGAAGAAAATCGAGCAAGAAATTTTCGTTCAAGTTCTTTTCGCGTAATTGCACGAGCTCCTGAACGTATTCTTGATGCTGCAGATATGATTGATGATTTTTATCTTCAACTTATGGATTGGTCTGCAAAAGATGTACTTGCTGTTGGTTTACAAGGTTCTGTTTATCTATGGGATGCAAAAACATGTAGTATTACTCAACTTCCTTCTCAAAGACCACCTAATGGTGTTATCTGTGGTGTTTGTTGGAATGAAGATGGTAATCTTCTAGCCCTTGGTACTGATGATGGATCTGTGGAAATATGGGATGTAGAAATGCAACGTATTACTCGTAGACTTTACCAACATGTTGATAGAGTTGGAGCAATTTCTTGGAATGGTAACAATCTCGCAACTGGAAGCAAAGATTCCACCATCCGTATTGATGACCTTCGAGATCCACTTAGCTCGTGGACTATGCGAGGTCATCATCAAACTGTATGTGGATTAAAATGGTCCCCAGATGGGGTTCGTCTGGCAAGTGGAGGTAATGATAATCAATTACTTATATGGGATAGTCGCAGTTTCTCCACCAGGTCTAAACCTGCATTACGTCTTAATAAACATACTGCGGCTGTAAAAGCAATTGCATGGAATCCTATTCAACACAATCTTCTCGCAAGTGGTGGTGGTTCAGAAGATAAGATGTTACGCTTTTGGAATACCTCTACTGGTGAATGCATTAATCATTTTAACGCTGAAAGTCAAGTTTGTGGGGTTTTGTGGAATCTAAGTGGGACAGAACTTGTCAGTTCACATGGTTTTTCACATAACCGATTAACCATCTGGAAGTATCCAACCATGCGAAGGGTGGTGGATTTAACAGGACACACCTCACGTGTTCTCCATATGTGTATGTCAACGGATGGAGAAGTCGTGGTCTCCGCAGCAGGAGATGAAACAATTAGATTTTGGCGTTGTTTTCCCCCTTCTGGAGAGCGAGAGGGGCGAAATGGTCGTCATGGTCTTTACGCTGATGCCAACTCACATCACCGCTCAGGTCAAAACGGTAAAGGTGTAGAAGTAGATAATTCCCTCCGTGATGAACTGGCCCTTAGATAAAAGAATGAAGAAAGCAATAAGACAAAGAAAAAAAAAAGAATATATATATATATATATGTTTATGTGATATCAAGTGGAAAGGGGAAAAAAAAAAAAATAAAAGGGGAATAATGAAAATAAAAATGAAAAGGGATTATTCTTCATTTTCAAACCTTAATGTGCCCTTCAAATCTGTACCTCTTGCTTTGTTTTCATTCTGTTGTTTTCTTTTTATCACCCAATGTTTATTGTGTACTCTCGTTGTTTTTTTTTTTTATTTTCGTTTTACTTTTTGAATGTGCTGTATTTACGCAAAGAGAATGTATCATCCACACTGTAAGTGTGGATGGATGGGTGGGTGGGTATATATATATATTTAATACGTCATTCTCTCTCTCTCTCTGTGTGTGTGTGTGTGTGTCTGTACGTGGGTCTTTCTGTGTATATATGGAATTTAACGGTAAACGAAATTATTTAATTGTATACACTCTGAACTCTTTCGTATTGGTGTGTGTGTTTTTGTTTTTTGTTTTTGTTTTTTCTTTTTTTTCTTTTTTTTCTTTCAAAGTCCATTCGATAGTGATTCTTAATCTCTCGTTAGAAAGGAAGAGGGATAGATAAGAAGAACCGGGTTTGTTGGATAATACAACACCATCAGAATATTAAAAATATTTATTTTATTATTATTATTTACTTTTTTGGATAAAGGACAGATACTAAGATGCTTTCTCGGATCAAAAAACAACAGGCTGAGGCACGCGACGCCAGTGCTCAGAGTCAAGGCAACAACAACAGTAATAATAATAATAGTAATAGTAGCGGTGGTAATGGTAGTACTGGTGGTGGTCATTTAGCGATGAGTAGTGAACCTGTGGCAATTCTTCGTCTTAAAAATGATTTGGATAATTTAGATGGAATCCGCAGTAAAGTGGAGATTCCTGATCCACATAATATACTTCGAATGAAAGTTACGGTGAAACCCTCCTATCCATCTATCTGGCATGGTGGTTTATTTGAATTTCTTTTAGAGTTCCGTGAGGCTTACCCGTTTGAAGGTCCAAAGGTTCGGTATTTAGGCCCTCATCGTATTTGGCATCCAAATATTGAGGGAGATGCCTTTACTGAAGGTGAGGGAGGAGTGAAACAAACTTTAAAGAAAGAATGGGGTGTGTGTTTGAGCTTTCAAACAGAATGGAAGCCAACACTTAGTCTACGGGATATTATTATTATGATTGAATTGCTATTTCAAGATCCCAATCCCGATGATCCTCTACATGGAACCTCAAAGGAGGCGGCACAGATGATGAAAGATAATCCTGCTATGTTTAAGGATAAAGCACGGCGATGGATGCAAGGTTTGTATGTGGATTGACTCTCTGATGATGTGGATGATGATGATGTTTTTTTTCTATTTGTTGCTACTCACTTACTTGCCTTCTCTCTTTTTTTTTTATGTAATCTTCAGTTCATAAATGGAAATCTAGTTTATTCTCAGATTTTACAAAACCAACTATTGTGTTTTTTTTTTTTCACTTTTTATTCTACTTATTATTGGTTATTCTTTATTTATCTTCTTATCTTCTTTTTTTTTTCTTTGGAATTCATTTAAGTGAGGGGTGGAGATCCGTTTTGTTATTTATTCTTGAAACTGTTTTCAGGAATTTTATTACAAGTCATTTCCGTAACCTTGCAAAGGCACCATTAGGTTTTTTTGTTTTTCTTCTTCTTACAAAGTAGACTAACGTAGACTCATACTTGGGAGAAAAATATTGGAAATAGACATATCATTATCATCATAATATCATTACATCTTTCACTAATACTACTGTGACATCTCTTTATAGTTAGTGTTGTTGTTGTTGTTGTTGTTTTTTATGCAGGAATATGGAGGGAAGTAAACAAACTTCATCGAATGAAACCGTTTCTGGTATGCCCTTTATGGGATTTAATCGTCCCAAAGAGACTGGTACACAATACACAAGTGCTGGTGGTGGCGAAGTATATTTTAACCCTGGAGATTTAGTTAAATATGTGTGGAATTACATTCGAGATGAGGGTGGTCGGCAGGAATACTCTGGTGTTTCCATGGTTGGACCGGATTTACACTCCCGTCCACCGGCGTGGTTGGAGGATAAAAATGTCTCCATTGATGGTACACCTCTCACAGAAGAAGAACGTCGAGCCCCAAATTTCTGGCAAACAAAATATAGACGAGAACTGGATGTTGGAGAAGCCATTCAAGAAGTAAAGCGGCGTAGACGAGTGGAAGAAACACATGATATTATTGGATCTTTTGAATGGGTTCGTCGTAAACTTGGTTGGGCTGAACCTTTAGATGAGACGCTAGCACGACAAAAGGTGGAAGCCCGTCATCGGCAAATGAAAGAAGATGATGCTATGGAGATTGGAGATAATCGACAGACTAGTCGCCAAGTTGGTTTAACAACTCCATGGAAAGTATTTATGGAATCTGTAGAAACTGGACAACCCATTACAAAGGTAGCGAATGAATATCGTCCGCATATAGATTTTTATGGTCTCGATCCCTTTTTAAACTCTCCACCTTCAGTTATTTGGTTTAGCACAAAGTGTGGTATTGCCATGGGTATAGTGCAAGGTACAATAAAAGCTATTCAAGCTATGAATGTGGATGTACAGTTTTTAAAAGCCTCTGGTGTAGGTATTTTATCGATTTTAAATATGTCTGTATTTGCCAATGTTGTGAAATGGGGTGGTAATTGTTTTTTATTCGCATGTGCTTTCTCTATTGGAGATTGGATAGCCACTTGGGTAAAGTATCGTTTACTCCCACCTCATGATGCCAAACAACGCAGTACATTAAATTATGTTATTGGATTTGCAATGTCTGGTGGAACTGTTGGAATCTTACCATGGTGGATTCTTGGAGATATGACCCTCGCTTTTCGACTTGGTGTTTCCGGTTTATTTGTGGGTGGTTTATTAGGCGTAGGTGTGGGAACTGTTATTAGTCGTCTGGTGGCTCTTAACACCGCCCGGCTTGAGGCGACAAATAGAGAGTTTCGTCGCTACGAGGCGTTAATGCGGCGTCAGCGGAGTTGGATGGAAGAAGAACGTGAAAAGGTGTGGAGCAATAAACACGTCTGGTGGTGAGAGTTTCTCTGGTCTCTTTTGAGATGATATGATGATAATGTTCTTGTTATTGTGTTTGAGGGTGTATGTAGAGAGAGAGAGAGAGAGAGAACCAAAAGAAGAAGAAGAAAAAAAAGAAAAAGATAGCGAAAGAGTGGCATATCTCTCTACAATTGCGTAGAGGGGGAGGGAAGGGAAAAAAAAGAACGAAACTTCACTGTAAAAGAAGTTTATCCTTCTTTTTTTTTATCATTTCTATAGTTATTTCTTCTTGTATTTCTTCTAACCTATCTTCGTTTACCTGGAATAGGGAAAAGAGGAAGGCAAGGGAAATAATAATAATAATAATAATATAATCATAACAGGAAAGAAAAAGAACAAGAGAGAAAAGAGAGGCGATAACACTGAAATGAAAAGGGAATTTTCTGCAGGTGCTGTTGCTCTTAAACAACATTGTCATAATGTTATAGATGCACTTGGTGCGAGAACTCCACCTGAAGCTTTTCTCTTTCGTGGAAACGCCTACTTTGGACTTGGACAACCCTATTTTGCCTTAGCTGACTACAATACCGCTGGACAAGTACTGCAGTTATCTGGTCGACATCAACAGCGTTGTTATGAGGCGATTCATCACTTTCCAGAATTCCAAGTTGGTACTTATCCAGCAGATAGTTCCCATCTTCACCTCTATGTATATCCATATCTTCATGAGAAGTGTGAAGTAAGGGAAATAGATACAGGGATTGGACGTGGTATTGTAGCGAAGGAATCTCTTAAGGAGGGAAGTGTTATTATTCGTAGGGCTCATCCATGGTTACGATATTCCATTGATGATGGTCTTTGTGCTCTCTGTGCACAACCATTACCTGAACGTTTCTTTACCTGTACAAATCCTAAATGTCATGAAGAGTATTGTAGTCGAGATTGTAGAACCATAGCCCTTTCTCTTTATCATAGCCGTACATGTTATTTAGAAGGTTTTCAAGCCCTTGAACTGGATATTTATACACAAATGAAAAATTCTAATAGTAGTACAGAAAAAAATGCTGCCGCTGCACAATTATTGATGTTACGTGTATTAGCTGTTTCTTTACAACAACAAGTTATTCCATCTGCTTTAAGTGAATTACGTATTCTTTCTGGTCGTTTACTATTTAGTCCAAAAATTCTTTCAAGTTCATTTCTTGAAATTTATGAACGATTTACTCGTTCTTGTCATACGACGACATCTATTACATATGAAGAAATGATTGGAACGTTAGCACGAGTAACGGCAAATTGTTTTCATCGTGAAAATTGTATTGAATTACATCTTCCACGATCCATGTTAAATCATTCCTGTAATGCTAATATTGCAGAAGATATTATGACAGGAGAATTAAAAACAATAAGAGGAGTAACAAGTGGGGAAGAGTTAACTATAAATTATTACCCTCAACTGAAACACATGGGGTATAAGGAGAGATCAGAAGAACTTGAAAAACGCGGATTCATGTGTGGTTGTCATTATTGCAAAAATAAAATATAATGAAGAAATAGTGAAGAAGATTTTTTAACAAAAAAAAAAAAAAAAAGCGAAATTCATTGTTTCTCATATATATATATATGTATATATATATTCATATCGTGTATTATTTTTTATTTCTCTCTCTCTCCTTTACTTGGGTGTGTGGAGGAAGGGAATAAGAAGGGTGAGGTATTTAAAAACAAAGAAAAGAAAAAAAAAAACAACCTTTATTTGTTGTCAGGTTCATATATTCCTGATTCTGTTTAAACTTATTTTTGATTATCATCATTATAGATTGTTTGTTTTTCTCTTTCTTATTTTTTTTTTGGTTTTTTTTTTTTTTTTTTCTTTAATACAAAGGAGAGGGTGGGGTGGGGAAAAAAAAAAAAGGAAGAATCCCAAATTTTTGGAAGTATTCTAAATAGATAATGCTCAAGACTGTTTTACTTCTTGATGGTAGTGATGCGGTCAATAGTTCTGCAGATTATCTTCCTACACGACTGCTTGCTTTGCGTCCTCAATTAAATCGATTTGTTCATGAATATCTTGATAGTAATCCATTGGCTTCTCTTGCGGTGGTGACTATGCGGGATGGGGTGGCCCATCGTCTAAACTCCTGCACAACGAATGCTTCTGAGATTATACAGGCATTAGAAGTTCAGTATTTCCTCTTTGGTGGTTCAGGGGCAATGTCATTAGAAAATGGATTACGTCTTTCACTTTCAGAACTTGTAGATATGAAACGTATTACAAAACGAGTTCGACAGACAAATTCAGGTAATACAGCTACAAGTAGTAAAGAAACAAGAGAAGAACCTTTGGCAAAACTTCGTATTATTCTTATCTCATCTTCTGTTACGCTTATTGACCCTCATGATGTTTTTCTTGTTCTTAAGATAGTCAGTCAACTCCATGTACGTGTAGATGTTATTTCCTTCTGTGGGGCTGTTCATGTTTTTCATGAAGCCGCTTTAGCTACGGGTGGAACATTATATACTCCTATGAATTATGATCACCTTACAGAAATTTTACATCGTCTTGCCATTCCTGAGAAAAATAATATTTCTAGTGAAGGAAAACAGTGGATGATACAAATAGGTTTTCCAGTTTATGTGGAGCATGAAGGAAAAGAAAAAGAAGGAGAAGAATATCAAAATCTTAAGTATTACGCATGTCCTCAGTGTGGATTAATACAAACTTCTATTCCTTCCACCTGTCCACTCTGTAAGTTATTACTTTGTAGTGTCCCATTGATACATACCACTTTTATTGCACAAAATGAACTTTGTGCCCCTTCAAAAGAATATAAATCTGGTATGGAAAAGGAAAAGGAAAAAACTTTTCTTTACAGTCCTTGTTCGTTATGTCAACGAAAAATAGTTTGTAATGAAAGAGGAAGTATTTGGCAATGTAGTTCCTGTCAATGTGTGCGATGTAGTGTGTGTGAAACCTATGTTCGCGACAGTCTAAATCTCTGTCCAACGTGTATTGGTTCCTCTATGTGATGAAAGGGGTATTCTCTAAAATATAATATTACCCCTTTTTTTCTTTCTTGGCAGTGAATATTGGTGGTAGTTGTTGTTGTGGTGGTGGTGGTTGATGATGTTTTCTTAAAGGAAAGAAAGAAAAGAAAAAAAACTGATTTTATTGAATAATGGTATCCTTTTTAAACTCGGTTATAGTTTTTCTGTTGCTGTATATTTTTCTCAGATATGTTTTTTGTTTTTGTTTTTCTTCTTAATTTTTTGCATTATTATTTCTTTTTTTTTTTTCTTTTCTTTTCTTCTTCTACTGTTATCTCTTTTTTTCTCTTTTTTTTTTTTTTATCATTTGTGATCAGCCGTCCATTACTATGTGAAGTTCCTTCCTTCCTTCTTTTTTATATTTGAGAGGGGGGAGGGGTGGGGAAGAGGATAGGAAGGAGGGTTTCCTTTCCGCGTTCATGTGTTTGTTTGTTTGTTTGTTTGTTTTTCTTTATCCCCCATGCTTTAACAATCCAATCAATTATAAGGAGAGGGAGTAGAGGGAGTGTTGTTAGTTGATTAGTTATTTAGTTATTTATTTATTTATGTTTCAACGGACTCTTCTCGTTGCCGCATCATTTCCTTCCGTTGGGGCGTTAGTGCCCTCCATGTGGAAGACGGCTCCATTAGGGTGGCATCTTATTCCCCATTCCAATGTGGAAGAACATGAAGAACTGTATGTGGGAAAGTTATTTTCTTTTTTAAATCATGCAGCACAGTATGCATTTATCGGACAAGTAATGGCACTTGCAGAGGAAATTAAATGTATTCCTCGTCTTGAATGGTTTTATGCGGAATTATATTTTTTATTACCCCCAACTCGTGATGCTGAAATATTAGCTTGTTATATAAATGATCAAGAACGTCTTCGATGTGGCTTACGAAATCAATCATCAGGAACAAGTTCATCTGGAATTATGTGGAGTAGAGAATTACATGAAAGAGTGGAAAAACGTGCATCAGAAGATTTTTGTTGGTTATTAACTGAAGATCAAAGGAAAACTGAAAAATTTCTACAGGAAACTTATGTTCAATGGCATCATCGAGCTGATTATCTAGTTACGAGAAAAAGTCGTGAAAAGAAAGAATTTAGACAAGATTTGACACTTCAACGAGTTATTCAAGAAGGTCAAGAACGCAAAAGACGAATGGAACGTCGACGATCACGATTAGAAACTCGTGAAAAAAATATTACATCAGGAAAAGAGAGTGAATGGGATAATTTTACACATGATGTACTTCCGAGGGAACTTCGTGAAGCACTGGATCGAGAGAGTGATGGTATGGAAGATGTAAGAATTTCCCGGGCAGGAACTGCAACAGGAGGGTGGAGTCGCGGTCATCGTACGCATCCAAATTTTCGTTAGAAATTTTTCTAAAAGGTTTATTACCATTTCTAGTGCTTGTGTTTATTTTTTATTTTTTTTTTTTTTTTCTGTGTGTGTGTGTGTGTGTGGAACTTTTGTCTGGGTTAGGATTTATTTACCTGTTTTTTTTTTTTTTGCGTTTACCATTGGTTTTGGAAGTTTGGTTTTTTTGTTTTTTTAATATTATTCTTGTTGTTATTCTTAGATTTGTATTTTTTTTTTTTCTGGGGTGTGTACGTGACTGGGTGTGTGCAAAGGGGGCTTTATATATACATATATACGTATATATATATATATATATATAATGTTCCTTGCAAGAGTCTTGCGGCGCTGCCGCAGTGTTCATCCAAACTCTCTTCGTGAAGCTCCTCTTGCACTTCAAGAAATGTACCGTGGAAAGAAAAGTGAAAAGGGTGAACCTATTGTACTTCAAACTCTGGATGAATCTGCTCAGATATCTCCTAATATATCTCTTACAGGTAGACAAATGTGGAATTCAACTAAATTAATTCGTGAAAATCGAAACTTTCGACAAACTCATAGTGCATGTGTAGTTGGTGGTTCTGATGCTATTAAATGTATTTGGCGAAAATACAAAATTGTTCCAAATGTCGTTTATGTTCCAGATACTGAACCTTCAGTTCCAGCGTGGTGTCTGGAAGAAGATCTTCCTACTTGTATCGTTCGTTGTTCACCTGTTGAAATTAATAGAAAATTACTTAGTGCAGAACGTGCGGACGGTTATGCTGCAGAATTTTCAATTCCACCATTTCCAATACTAGAAAATTACTTGGGAGAGAAAAAATTTACACGATTATCTTCCATGTTAGTTTTAATCGGTTTACGAATTCCTAGTAATGTTGGTTTACTTATTAAAGCTGCAGTAGATATGGGATTTGAAAGTATTCTTCTTAACGATTGTGTTGATTTATATAATGAAAAAGTTTTACGTGCAAGTGGTGGTGCTGTTTTCTCACCAAAAATAAAATTATTTGAAACACATTCTGTATCAATTTCAGTTTTAAGTGATATCGCTATGGATCATAAACTTTTACCATTACTTGCAGTGCCTTCTCAAAACGCTGAATCTGCTTTTACAGTAGCTAAACGTTTACATAGTTTAAATGAGGCTAAAAAAAACCATGAAGAGGGAGAAGAAATAAAAGATCATTGTGGTCCAATGTTAATTTTGGGTTCAGAATCACAAGGTTTAAGGAGTCTCGCAGGGGAATGGAGTATTCCTCATCAATTTGTTTCAGTTCCTTTACCGAACCCCTCGGTTGGGTCAATTAATGTGGGAGTGGCAGGGTCGGTTCTCTTGCATGCCTTTCGTCCGGCGGCGGAAGCTCATTTTGCACAACTCGCTCAAAAGGACAGGATTCTTTTGGAAGATGAAGAAGAAAGAAGAACAACAAGAGAAGAGGAAGAAGAAGCAGGGGCAACAAAATCATTCCCACAGTAGTCGGGAGAAACCCTCCGGAGATTTTTCGTTTAAAGAAAGAAAGAAAGAAAGAAAAAACGTCAGCTCTTCCATTTCTTTTTTTTTTTTTTTTTTTTTTTTTTTTGTTTCCCCC